CGATGATGATTTATCTCGATTTTATGTTAAGGCCGTGATTAAGATTACCCACTCAAGTTGCTTTATAAAATGCGAAGCGGTTGGGGTCCATCCTCAATATCGCTTGCTTACAGTTTCCTCTCCGAAGGAAAGTTTCACACTGTTGTGCGAGGTCACTTTCGTCGCTTTTCAAGGCAAGGTGCTGCGTCACTGGTGTGCCTCAAGGTGGCGTGTTATCTCCGACCCTTTTCAATATTTATAAGTACGACTTGCTCAGTCTCCTCTCTTCCATTCATGTGAAGTTTTGCGATTTGTGATGCATCTCAAATTTATTACCAATAAGGGACTGAAGACGATCATACAGAATGCGATTGATACAGTACTTGAGTGGTCACAGCAATGGGATCTGCCACTTTCTGACGTTAAATCGAGGGTACTCCACTTAGGGTCTAGCAACGCCAGGCACTCCTATACCATGAACGGCACAGTTCTTAGCTGTGCATACGAAGTGCATGACCTGGGATTTCTGGTCTAGTAGTTGATTTTGTGTGCACATAGCTCAAATGATAGCCAACAAAGCATGGCATTAACAGCACTAACTTGGTCAGAGCTCTCTGCGACTTAAACGCGTGTCGGTGGCTTTTCATTGCCTTACAAATACTTTCGTATAGGACTATTGTTTGAATTATGGGACTCTTGTTTAGCTTACAGTCTTAAAAGTGATAAGTATGTTGGAGAGGAGTTCAAAATAAGCTTTCACAAGACACTTATGAATACGGCGTCCTTTGGTTTTTTACGAAATCCTGTATAAAGCTAGGAATGAGGATTTTGGACTAGCACTCTTGCAAGGGAGTAAAGCGAATGATCTCTTTGCTTCTTACACGAACTCGATGCGCGAGCGAAAGTGTCAAGTTGAAGCTCGTTCGCTGAGACGCCTTGCTATTACCCGAGGTTGTGTTAACTAATAGTTATTGACGGGTAGCAAAACTAAATGTAGTGCGAAATATTTTGTCACCTTCAGAGCGATTCTGCTTTACGAAATAGCTAAGTTAGAAGGGCGATACAATCTAATGCGAAACGTTCAGGACTATTAGACAATTTTGAGTCCATGAGGCAATTTATTCGTTTACCCATTCTGGGTAAACGAGTCCATAGGCCTTGTATGTCTCCTATGTTGTTCCTTGCTCGTTGCACGCGTATACTGTGTTCCTACGTCATCTGTTGATTTTTTTTCTCAATGATCATTCCTAATTGTGTTGTGTTGAGTTCTGAAGTTTTATTTTGTTTTTGCAAGATTTGTGCTCACAAAAATATTTGTTATATATAAATAATAAAATAAATAAATAAATAAATAAATAAATAAATAAATAAATAAATAAATAAATAAATAAATAAATAAATAAATAAATATATATATATATATATATATATATATATATATATATATATATATATATATATATATATATATATATATATATATATATATATATATATATATATATATATATATTATATATAATATTGCTTATATATATATATATTATATATATATATATATTATATTATATATATATATATATTATATTATATATATATTATATATATATATATATATTATATATATATATATCACGCGTCCATGCTCACCAGCTCTTTCTGTTGTGAGTTCATCGAAAAATGTCTGCATGAAGCTAATTACATGTTTTCAGCAGCCTATTGTGCCATTGCTATATATGAGGAAATGGAAACGGTTGGGTGATTTGGACACGACGACGAACGAGAGTTTCGATGCCGGTACTGTTCCCAGAACACCTGCCACAGCTGTTGCAGACGTCGATGCTACCAGCCCTGCACCTAAAGCACCCAGTGTTGAACGAACACAGACGCTCGCCACAGGCACTCAAGAGGACGACGAGAATCAGTCCAAAGAATAGATTTAGATCTTTTTAAAGCAATTACACAGCAATTGTAGTATTACTCTCAAATGTGTACTATTTACGTCATCACCATGCCTTCAGTCATGGTGGAGAAAACGAAACAATCTTCAAGAAATTAAAAATTGGATCATCTGTCCTGATTATTACTACCTGTGATTATCTGTGCTTAATTGAGCCTCTAATAGTATTATCTGCTTATGTAGAGGAATATACATGTGGCAAGACAACCGTAATATGCCGCGTTAGTCGACTAGGCAAGCGACGCTGCACGCGACGAACGAGTTGTCTTGTTGAAGTTTGAATATGATTATCAGAGTGAAGGGACATTTGATGTCACCCGTTCTAGAGTTCTTTCACCGTTTGAATTCATATGATTTTGGCTACTCCGGTCGACAGACTGGCGCACATCGGGAAGTTGACGCACATTGCCGCAAGACCGCACCACGCGACTACGCGATAAACTGCGATTGTCTTGTGCGTCCCCGAAAACGGGTGCTACTGCAATTTATGTGGTCCACGCGACAGCACAAGGGCACACATCGTCCTTTTGAGCTTCTTTTCACTTGTACCGTGTATCACCGCTCTCTCCATGGGCCATGCGTTTACGACCCCCCCCCCTCCATCGCGGGCAAATACGACCCCCCCCCTGTTGTGATGATCACAAAGATGGCGTGCCCTGCCTCCAATACAATAACAGAACATTTAGCTATCACAACCATGCAGCTCCACTGTCGCCCATCTTTAAAGTGGTGAAAGTGGTACCAATCCGGAGCTAGGGACCTGCCTTCTCGCCCATGAGTGTGGTCTAATTCACAGGTGAGGAGGCAGCGTGTCCACCATCATATCCTGGACGAGTCTTTCAGAATGCGACCAAACCGAGTACGTTCCGCCAGTTATAAACTACATACCTCAACATAAACTGGATTTTGAAAAGTCCTGGCTTGTACTTGTCACTGTGTTGGCTGGAACTTTTTGCTAAGTCATATTTGGAATATGAGTGGAGAAGGCCATTCCGAGTAAGAAAGATGTCATAAGCCAAACTTTTCATTCCTTCCTGTGTTGATTAATTGTACCAGACTCTTCCACTGAGTGATCAGCTCACCCCCCAAATCACTGCTACAGACCAAATGGGTATTCAAATGCTGCAAGAATCTAGGAAGGCACTCGAATGCGTGGTGCGTCCCCTAGAAGGACTGGCCGTCAAACGGTTCAAGCAACTTTCCCGTTCATTGCATAGAATCATGCGGATAGGATTACACAGCGCTTGTTTATCTCCAAAGGGCTTGCCCACCTAAAATGCTGACTTATTATCGCAGAGCGCTTGCTGCTACTCGCTAATAGGAAGGCTTCTAGATAGGAAATTCGTTGAAAGGTGATTGCTTCAATATCAAGGACATTCGTGCGAGCTTCATGTATGTTCGTAAACCACCGACGAGAGAAACACGATCATTGTAAAAAGAGGAAAAGAGTGTGGAAACGGATTGTTTAGCCCTTTTCAGGAGATCTGTCCTATTCCCAATGTTTATCACATCAGGGATGAATAATACCTCAGAAAGAGCTGACCACACTGTCAACTAAAAATAGGACCCTGCCAGAGGACAAAACTCATTCCGCTGCCCCTCGCTTCGGGGTCTTAATAGGTAGGAGGAATAGAAAAAGAACTATGGATCTAAAACTGAATCGCTTGCTGAGGGGAAGCTCAGAGCGAGAACACAAAAGGAAGAGAAGAAGGGAAAAGAAAAAAAGGATGAATGATCTGAAAATAGAGAAAAGGAGAACCCACTCCAGGAGACTCTCACGGATATGTTACTGATAAAGGGAGCCAATTCGGCGACCGGGAGCGAACATTTTTGTGCTATCATTGCCTCCCATTGAGGGAGGGTGAACTTAAAATGCTTCTCACCAGCCCTGGACCTTATCTCGAACACCGCAGCAGCTATTGCTCTCGAATACGGTGTATGTGACAAGAGGCATTGTTAAGCGCCGCGCTTCATACTTTGCGCTTCGCTGAAGGGAATGCCATTTGAGATGCCGGAAAAATGCAGAGTCGGAATGTGCAGAAAAGCAATAGGATACTCATCGACTTTGAAGAAATGCAGCAAATGCCGAAGTGCAAGCAAGTGCGGGACGGAATCTGCAGAATGCCGAAACTGAAGGAGGCTGCGGAATCTGCGGAATCTGCAGAAAGTGCCGAAAGTGCGGAATGTGCAGAAAAGCACGTATCGATTTTCCGCACTTTCGGCATTTCTGCATTTCTTCAAGTCGATAAGTATCTATTGCTTTTCTGCAGATTCCGCACTTCTGCACTTTCCGCATTTCTGCATTTCTTCACGAACGCAAGCTATGAACGCGGCCTAAGTCACCGCGCTGGTGGGCGTCGCGTGCGACGTCGCGCCCGCAAATGACAATGGTTCCAGGTAGTAGATGGCGACAACAGGCAATTCAGAACCGAAAATAGTCATGAATGTCTACGATGACGGGGTCTACATGAAGTCCGAAGCTCCAATCGGCAGGTCAACACGAATAAGAAAACGCCGCGCCGTCGCCGCGCGCGGTGGAACGACAAGTTACGATTCTCTTGCCGTATCCCCTCGTATCCGCCTACGTTCATTGTGAGTGACATGTACGACCTACCCTACTACGACAATTTATCAGTAAAAAAAAAAAACTCTTGGTTCGCCTGTACTTCGGAACGATGACTATTCTGTCCTTTTTCGGTACTTCCGGCCGATTCTTCGACGGCTTATCAGTGCTCTGTGATGCTGATAACTCGCTATCAGCAGCGCATATATTCAAGGAGAATCGAAGCCGTTCAACGACTGGCACTCGCCATCGATAGTCAATTCTCTAATTTCTGGCCCTTAGTATCACTGCAACTTTTAGATACCCAGAAAGCCTAATCTGCGCCGTAGAGGTGCTTCACTTACTGACCGGTGACGCGATAAATAATCTTGGTGTAGAACAAGTCTGTCACCACACCCACTCCTCTTATTCGTCCTCCTCTCATCTTACATTCAAAAGCGTTCTATCGAAGCACTTTCTTGCTTTCTGAATATGCCCGGTGAAAATCATAATTTCAGGATGCAGCACCTAGCTGTGCTATTTGCCCTAGCACTGAACTGCTTTGCCAGCCCAGTTGCCCAACAGGAAACCTTGCAACAAGCGCCACCCTCTAATCTGGTGAGAAACTGTGGTACTTTTCTGAAAAAGGCTTTGTTCTCTGAATATTAAGCGGACTGCCACTTCCCCTTTGAAAGGAGAAAGTATTAGCTTTGGTCACACTGTGCTTTTCAGGTTTCTTTGGCGTACGCCCTTGATCTCTCTGCACCAGTAAGCGTATCAGGATTCACGTGCTTCCGACAAAATCTCTACAATGTAGTCTTTATCAGGTCAGTCATAAGATTAGGTTCCCTCCATACCTGAGAGTAGCAAGGGGCGTGGCTGCGACAGCAGCGAGAGTCCAGGCGGAAGAGGGGCAAAAGCGTTTTCTTGGGAGAAGCGAATCTGCATGGGATACGCATTTGCGTCTCTTGCTGCCTCCGACATGACAGGCCTCATGATCTTGGAAGGAACTGGTTACTTGGCATTACTGACCGTGGCGTCTGGATACGATCCACAAGGTGTTGGGCTAAGAACAATCTGGGCTTGAAACGGTAACCACATCCGCGGAAGCCTCTCGCCCAGTTCATTGCTCCCTTTTTTCTTCCTGTGGCGTTTTTCTCTGAACAAGGAGCGATCCCTCGGTCACTGGGCAAGCTTGGTTCTTACCCACTCGATCGAGTCAATCAATAAATATTCGACGGGAACATCTCATTTAAAATTCATTCAAATTTACCTGTATTACAGAGGCTATGCTCCAACTGGTTCCGGAACCGTCGACACGTACGCGTGCGCTAATATCCAAAACGCCAACAGTGGTGAGTTGGGAAATGGGTCCTTATTACTTATCAACTGATTTCAATTATTATCATTTATTATTACAGATTATCTTTGCTTAACTTATTATTAAGACCCACTCTTTTCCGATGAACTAGAGAAAAAAAAGAGAAGAAAAAAAAACAGTTGCAGTTTAAGCCGTACCAGAAAGGGGGATCTAAAACGTATAGGTCTGGAGAAGCCACGCCTCCAACACGAGTCCTTCCCCCCTTTGGCAAGTAGATTGATAGAATTTCTTGTGTGATGCTGCCTGAAATAAAACTTTCAAAGCACATTATAGAACCCATAAACAGGACCTATAGATCCTATGAACACACGAATTTTCCAGAAATCGATAATGTTTCTGGTGTAGTGTACTCCTAGCCAGTCCTTCCTTGACCATAAGTGTCTGACCTGCCTAATGAGGAACTCTCTCAAACGGGAGGAAGTAAATAGCACCCTCAAATTGCAAGCTGGTCCTACTTTATGCAATCAGTTTTCAACAGACTTAAAGTAAGGAATTACTTGAGACTAAATAAAAATGCTTTCCAGCTGGACTCGGCACAGAAGTGTACATGACCCCTCAGCCAAACTCTGCTAAGGGTGGCGCCCAGCAATTCGACGAAATGTACAATAATCTGCGAAACTCGAACATCAACGTACGATCAGTGTGGATTCAGGTAAGAGAGGACTTGCAGAGACTTCTGGAAGATAAAGAACTGGACCACTTTGGGCGGGCGTGACCATATGCGGATATACTGTCCATAGCTTATAATTACTGGGATCGACGGTCATCTAGGTAATGCTAGATGTGAGGTCCATTGGAGTGTACGACAGAAAAAATGAATGGAGCGAGATTTGGCACCAGCAGATATCAATCGCGACTTTGACGGAGCATCGCACGTTGACCATATAGGCGGGGCTAGCCCACTATTGTACCTCCTTAGATAACCATGAGGTAGGACCGGTTCCGCCCATACGACCAAATATGCCTTTAATGGGTTCCTCCAGAATAGGAGTTTGACCGAGCACGTTACACACACTTTAACCTTACAAATATTGCGTGTTCGGGACAGGATGATAGATCAAAGGGGACCATTGAGGGGGAGGGGGGTCGAAATATCATGACTCCTTCCGAGAGTCTGACCGGGTTCCTGAGGATTCACGACACAGAGCTCATCGCAACACATTAGGGAAAAGCTCTGAACAGCAGTTCGATCCATCTCATGTCAGGAAGGTTTTGAAAAAAACTGAACTGTTCCAGGTGACGTCACCAATCAACTGGTTTGCGAGTACCACCACCAATATCAACTTCCTGAACAGTATCTTGTCAAGAGCTAGCGTAAGTGGTGACAATAATCTTTGGATGACCGATTAGTGAACGGGCAAAGATAGTCTCGTTTTAGCAATATGGCCTTACTATCGGAATCTACACAAATTTCTACGACTGGTCTCAAATCACGGGTGGAGCGACGATCAATAACGCTATGCTCTGGTGGGTAGTTATTTGAGTTCAAGTGATAATATGGTGTACTGAGACCCAGGGACGAGCTTCGTGAGCGGGCAGAAGTAACACAGGTCCGCTTTCTGATGAAGACACGTGTACGCTTACTCTCTAGAATCTTGATCTACCATCAGTGGAAGTGCTGCCACATTGCGTCGAAATGTCGCTGGAAGGTAGCGGTAGCCAGTTTCCGTTTCGAGCTCCACCCACAGACGAAACACGAGGACGCAACGCGCCGCACGACCAAACATGCT